TTAATTTCCTCATTATCTTCAGATGGCATGTTCCCGTGACAACGGAGCACGGTGTCCGTCAGCAGATGTCGCTGTTTTACTGTCATAAATAGAACGATTTCTTCAACTTCATAATCTCGCAATTAAATCGTCTGCGATTATGAACGCGATTTTGCGTAGCTTGTCAGTGAACTAGGTTCTGTGCAGTAAACACTGCACCATCTGAAAGCAGGTAATGGAGATTTACTACTAATCACAGAACCGGCTTTACTGACAAGATGCGCATGACAATCGCATTCGATTAATCGTGTAGCCCTAATTTTTAGTACTACAAGTGATGACACCCTTGATTTTAAACTCCCTTCCTGAATGAGGATGAGAGAATACATTCATTTTTGTAGTGAAATTACACTGGGTACAACGACCACAACTATAATTACCTGAGGGAATAGATAAAAAGTGAGTGGGTCGTTCTACAGATGAATTAACATCAGCTCTTACAAGGAGATCACATGTATTAGCAGTGTTTATACACCATCCTTGGTGTTTTTTTCAAAGATATCACTAAGGAGAGGATCAGATTTTAAAATATACCAGTGTTTGTATATGATCTATGATCTATGATGTACGCGACATCCAGCAAGTGATTAAAATTGGCCTTAAAATCCCCTAGAGTGTGGCCAGATTTAATCTGTTAACCAGATCAGTACTTTGTTGTGTATATGACTCAGTACTACAAATTCGGCGTATCAGATTAAACTGACTAACAGGCAAGCTATGTTTAAAAGTTGTAGGATGGTAGCTCTGTTGATGCAAAAGTGTGTTACGGTCAGTGGGTTTTCTGTAAAGATCTGTGATTATTTTTTTGCCATCCCTAATAATAGGAATGTCCAAAAGACTAAGACATGAATCATCATAATTAACTGTAAAATGTAAGTATTCATCACTTGTATTAAGAAAACTATGAAATTGTAGCAGTTGATTTTCAGTACCTGACCATAACATAAAAATATAATCAATATACAGTCAGGTCCATATATATTTGGACACAGGCACAATTTTTTATTATTTTCGCTGCTGACCAAAACATATTCAAATTAAAGATATATAATGAATATGGGCTTAAAGTGCACACTCTGAGCTTTAATTTGAGGGTATTCTCATCACAACTGGAGGAAAGGTTAAGGAATTACAGCTCTTTAATATGTAACTCCCCCTTTTTCAAGGGACCATATGTAATTGCACAGTTGACTCAAAAGCTGTTTCATGGACAGATCTGGGCTATTCCTTCGTTAAAAGGTCTGGAGTTGATTCTAAATGTGCCATTTGCATTTAGAAGCTGTTGCCCTGAACCCACATCATGCGGTCAAAGAAGCCCTCCATACAAGTGAAACTGTCAATTGTTAGGCTTCAAAAACAAAACAAATCCATCAGAGAGATAGCAGGAACATTTGGCCAACTCAACAGTTTGGTACATTCCGAGAAAAAAAGAACGCACTGGTGAGCTCAGCAACATAAAAAGGCCTGGACGTCAACGGAGGACAACAGTGCTGGATGATCGGAGGAACCTCTCCATGGTGAAGAAAAATCCTTTGACAACATTCCAGCCAAGAGAAGAACACTCTCCAGGAGGTAGGCGTGTCACTGTTAAAGTCTACAATCAAGAGAAGACTTCACGTGAGCAAATACAGAGGGTTCACCAAGGTGCAAACAAGGCCAGATTAGACTAACATCTGAAAAACATCTAAAAAAGCCAGTCCACTTCTGGAAAAACATTCTTTGGACGGCTGAAATTAAGATCAATCTGTACCAAAATGATGAAAAGAAAAAAAGTATAAAAAACGCTTGGAACAGCTCATAATCTAAAGCATAAAACATCATCTGTGAAACATGGTGGAGCAGTGTGATGACATGAGCATGCATGGCTTCCAGTTGCACTGGGTTACTAGTGTCATGATGTGACAGAAGACAGAAGCATCCTGAAGAATTCAGAAGTGTATAGGGATATACTCTCTGCCAAGTTTCAGCCAAATGGAGCAAAGTTGATTGGACGGCGCTTCATAGTACAAATGGACAATGACCCAAAACATACAGCAAAAGCAACCCAGGAGTTTTTGAAGGTAAAAAAAGTGGAATATTCTGCAATGGCCAAGTCAATCTCCTGATTTCAACCCGATTGAGCACGCATTTCACTTGCTGAAGACAGAACTAAAGGCAGAAAGACCCACAAACAACCAACAACTGAAGTCAGCTGCGGTAAAGGCCTGGCAAAGCAAAAGGAGGAAACCCAGTCTCTGGTGATGCCCATGAGTTCCAGACTTAAGGCAGTCATTGCCTGCAAAGGATTCTCAACAAAATGTTAAAAATAATTTTTTTTTTTTGAAAAATTGTAATTCCTAAGCATTTTATATTTTTGTTCAACCCCTTGAATTAAAGCTTAAAGAGCAGGTCATATGTTTTTTTAAAGTGTCCTAATATTGTGTTGGAGTCCCCTACAACATGTTTAAATGCATCTAAGGTCAGAAAACACTGTAATTTCCCCAGAATATACATTTATACATAGAGTCATTTGTCCATGATTTCGAAATGGTTCGTTCGATTCAGTTCTGAGCTGTCTGTAAACCCCTCCCTTCCATAAGCCTACTCTGCTCTGATTAGTCAGCTGGCCAAGCCTGTTGTGATTGGCACAAAGTGGAGTGCTTGAGCAAGTTAGCGAGCGCTACCATCTGTGTTGCCAAGTCCGCGGTTGTTTTTGATGTCGCGGGTTGTAGCGACCCCAATAACTTCATATTTAGGCACTGGAATGCGAATTTACCTGGGGAACCCAGACTGAAAGCGTGTATTTTACACCCCAGAACGCGATTTTTAAAGGGGGACCACCCTCGAAACACGATTGGGCTAGTTTTGAGTAGCAATTGGGCGGGTTTTGTTGTGGCAACCTGGCAACCCTAGCATGCACCTTTACATAAAACAATAATATAGTGCTCCAATCAGTTCTTAAAATAATGACATAAAA